AAAATCTAAAAATAATGGCGTTTGACTTTATTCCACTTTTTTATCTCACCCTGTATACCCTCTCTAGCCATATGGCTGAGGGTATAAATCAGCCCTGCTCAAAACCGTGTTCTAGAACATGAACCGAAAAAAGAGATAATTTAAGAGAAAATTAAAATTCTGTTTTTCTTTATATTTTAATTTGACTGTTTTTAGACATGAATGTGTATCAAAATTATTTATAAAGCAAATGGATAAAAAATATTTATAATTAACGACTTAACACTGTTTTGTTCTTGATTTAAATAAGCAAAGAGAAATTTGACTGGAAAGAGATATTTTTTCTTGAGCAGCGCTGGTATAAATATCAGGGGTGCTCAAGAAGAAATATCTGTTTTCAGTCAAATTTCTCTTTGCTTATTTAAATCAAGAACAAAACAGTGTTAAGTCATTATTTATACAAATATTTTTTATCCATTTGCTTTATAAACTATTTTGGCAAACATTCGTGTTTAAAAACAATTAAATAGAACAGTAAAATATAAAGAAAAACAGAATTTTAATTTTCTCTTAAATTATCTCTTTTTCTCTTCATGTTCTAGAACACGGTTTTGAGCACCCCTGAAATATACAAATTATATAGCGATATTCCGGAGAATAACGGCTTGCCGGCTGTGAATAAGAGAACACGATTTTATGCAGTGATGCTCTTAAACATGAACGATTACTCTTGCGTATCTCACTTTTGCAAATAACACTCTTTAATGTAGATGAAGATCAAAATGAAACAGTTAAATAAATATTCCAAAAATGTACCTCCTATATCAGAATATTTCTCTGGACAAGAATGTACAAATATTACTGCGGTAACCGATTTGTCCTTTTAGGTATCGAAAAAAATGACAAAACTAGTAGATTCTTGCAAGTTTTATAAACTAACCCTTATCTGCGGCCATTGCATATATTTATGTCATTATGTCTTTGCAAATAAACATTTAGAAACAATAACTATTTTGTATTTCTAATAGCTAATTTTTAAAAGTGTTACAAATTCCTATGTGGCATTGAGAAAAAACTGTTAATGCAACATTTCTAATTGTGAAAAGTGAAAAGCTTCAAACCTAACCTAGCTTAAGAAAAAACAAATACGTCCATCTATATGTACATACACGCACACGCACATATATATATGTAGTCTTTAGTCCTCTCCTTTTGGTTTTACAAGCAAATACTAAAACTCATATGGGGGTATAAGAAGGAATTGTGAAAAAAACGGTAAATGTAACATTGTTAAGTTGGTCAATATGTAGGTAGGTATAGGACCGAGTCAGAGCCTCCACATAGTCGCTGCAGACAAAAAAAAAACACGACACACGCAAACACACACACACACTTTTGACAATTTTTGTCAGCACAGCAAAGCATAAAAAGTGTGAACCACTGAACTAAATTTCTTTTCACTTCATTGATTTTGCAACAAGAAAATCTCATAAATTTTAAAATAATTTTGTTGACACTTTTTTTTTCTGCTCGTCGAAAACAAAAATATTCAATTTGCAATAACAAATAAATTAAAGAAAATCGATTTATAATGATGTCTTTTCATGGACAATTTATGATTTTTCTTTTCTTCGGCCGTTTCGATTTTTTTCATTCGTTTCCTTTCTATAGTATAAACCCCGTTTTCATTGACGTTCTCGGTATAATATGCTGATGGAGGCTCAATGATTTAATGCATTATTTTACATACACTTTATTTTTTAAATTAAAAACTTATTTCAAATTTTTTCCTTTCGTTTCACCACAAAATATATATTTTTATGTGTATGCTGCTCTTTGATTATTTTTATGTGTTATGCTGTGTGAAAATATTCTTCTATTTTTCTTCTTTGCTTTTCAAGTTCACGACGCCCGACAAGTCAACCAGCGTTTGATTCTTTTCAAAATGTACACGTTCGATGCTTAGATGACACTAAAAGGGAAAATATTCTACATCGACAGCTATATCCCCCATAATAAGTAAGCTTAAGAGAATTGGGAGCATGGCCAACGAATGTGACCAAATTGTAAGGCAGGTGGTTGTTTTGTCGAAAAAAGCTGTCTGAGTGTGTGAAAAAAGCTCCAGGGATGGACGAATATGAAAACAAGGTAGGAAAATTCTAACAGTATAATAGATTTGAAATTTAATTAGAGGAAATGGATTGCTCCTGTCAATTAAAAATATAAAACCTCAAACTATTCAAAACGTACATTATACTTTAATTAGACATTAAAAAGAGTTATTGACATGGTACAATAAAAAGGTAAAGTTGAGCTACCGGCTGATTACAATATTCTTCTAAGTGTGCCCAACTTCTGTCAATTTTGAAGATAATTCAGACAACCCATTCATTTTTCACGCTTTTAACTCATTTAAAAAATGCAATAAATGAAAACAACTTATTGCGTTTAATATTAAATAATTCTGACAGGTAGCGGGCTTAGCCTCAGGGCTGTATTTCTGTAAAATTACAAAGCTTTTCTACCTCCTTATTGCACCATGGTTATTGGCTAGAAAACTTTAAATTATGATGTATTATTTTAATACATACAGGGTGAGATAAAAAAACTGCAACAAAGTCAAACACCATAATTTGTACATTTAAAAAAATTTTGAACGAAAGCAAAAAATGTCGGAAATAGCATCAAATTTTAGAATAGGTTTAAATTTGTTCGAATTGGTCACCTTGGGCACGAATTATGGCCTTCAAACGGCCAATGAAACCGTCAGACGCTGCCCGAATGTTGCTCTGCGGTATTTTGACCCATTCCCGGCGAAGCGCTTGCTTGAGGTGATCAACACTTTGCTATTGGTATTTGTGCCAACCTTGCTTTCCAAAATACTCCAAACACAGTAGTCCAACGTATTGGTATCCGGAGATTTTGGTGGCCATTGTACGCTGATAACGAAACGAGGAACCTCATTTTGTAACAATTCTTGGGTGGCGTGTGCTGAGTGCGATGGTGCTGAGTCCTGTTGGACTGTCCAAGATCTGCGTGGCATCAGAATATTCGGCCTTTATTCTGATGCCACGGTCGATTAATGCGAGCGGAGAGCGACCATCGACTGTTATGGCGGTCCTCACCATGACCGGCACTTGAGTTCTGGTGGCCAATCGAAGGTGCACATTTTCAGCTGACCTCTTTGGCAAGCAAACACGATCATTTTGTTTGTTTACAAACTGCTGGGCAACGAATGTTTTCTAATCGGAGAAAATTAAAATCGGCAGTTCACCACTTTCAGCCAAGCGAAGCAACTCTTTAGCAGCTTTGAGTCTATTTTCTTTCTGTTGCGGTACAAGTCCTTGCACTTTTTGAAATTTCAATGGTTTTACCCCGAGCTCATTTTTCAATATTTGCCGATCGGAATATTGCGATATGTTCAGCTCATGAACCATTTTTCGGCCACTGTGACGCGGGTTTCGATCAAGTCGCTTCTTTACTTTTCGAACCATTTCTGCTGATGTTGCTGTTTGCTTGCGTCCACTTCCTTGACGTCGAGCTACGTTACCAGTATCACGGTAACGAGCGATGGTACGAGACACAAAAGATTTATTCACATTTAAATGCTGGAGTACTCTAACGGTAGCCACATGAGGTTTTCCAGCCATATATAAAGATATCACACTATCACGCTTGAATTCCATTACGAATAACTTTTTTTTCTGGAAAATTCTGACCAAAATGCTTTATTACGCTTATTAAAGCTCTTCGCCAGTTTCGCCATTAATCGCCATGACAGATCAAACTGTTTAGATAATATTTTTGAAAGAAAATCAAGACATTTTATTCATTTTTCATGCTATTTGACTCATTTTAAAAATTAGGAAAAATATCGAATAAATGAAAAAAAACTTGTTGAATGCAAATTTTACAGGAAGCGGGCATGGCCTCAGAGGTGTATTTCTGTAGTTTTGCGAAGTTGTTCTACCTCCTTATTGTACCATGTGTCTTCCAATCATTAACAAAGACCTAAAATGGTAAAGACTAGACAAAATGCATTCTGAGCAAATGGTTTGTATCTATACTATCCAGATAACAGTTCATGGCAGGACCATGTTAATATAAAAAAAAATATTTATAGGAAAAAATGACAAACAAAAGTTGAAAAATCCAAAAATTGGGTTTCAAAATTCTATTACACAGACTTTCCAAATTAATTGCATATTGCCTAAGCGGTTCAAATCGCATAACATTGCTAACTATGTTGTTACGATATCATAACAACAGAGGTATTTTCACAGGGTTGCCATATCTTAACTCTGTCTTGTCCCATCTTTATACTTCTATGTCTTTGTCATTAATTTTGAAAATATTTTGTTCTTATTTTTCAAAACAATATGCAAGATGGGACAAGACAGAGTCAAGATATGGCAACCCTGTGAAAATACCTCTGTTGTTATGATATCGTAACAACATAGTTAGCAATGTTAACTGATTTAAACCGCTAAGGCAATGTGCAAATTTTCGGAAAGGTCCATGGAATAGAATTTTGAAACCAAAATTTTGGATTTTTCAACTTTTGTTTGTCATTTTTTTCTATAAATGTTTTTTTTTTATATTAACATGGTCCTGTCATGAACTGTTATCTGGATAGTATAGACACAAACCATTTGCTCAGAATGCATTTTGTCTAGTCTTTACCATTTTAGGTCTTTGCAATATGTACATACACGAAATTGGCAGGAGTCGGGCACACTTAGAAAAAAATTATAATCAGCTGGTAGCTCTACCTTACCCATGGTAGAAGAATATAAGTAGATGCATCAACGCTTGCGAACATTGATATGTCAAAATTTTAAAATTGTTTTATAAAAAATAAGTAGATTTATACGATGCAAATCGGAGGTTGTTACAATATGTATTTCTCAACAATTTTTACAAATTTTAATAATTTTTCATTCAACATTTTCAATTCCAAAATCGGTTTGAGAGTTCATTGTCCCAGCAGCTGTGTCGAAGCGACTACCTGTATTCTTCTACCACGAACTTACCATTGCATTGTTCAATGCTAGTTCCCTTGCTCATTTAGTGAACATCAGATCTGTTTTATCATTTCTCTAGACAATCGTTGCTTTTGTTTTGATTTTCATCTTTATCACATATTCCATCTTTGGTCTTTGTTTTTGACGGAGGTTCTGTGTACTGCTGCGCTGCTATTGTTGTGTTGTTTGTTGTCCATGTTCCTTGTTGGACAACAATCCTACAATGAGTTATCATCATGGCACGTCGGATGAAGTGGACAATGATGCTGGGATGCTCTTAAATTTAAGTCAAAAATCCAGTATATTTGTGGGTAAGTAAATCCAAACCTTGCCTTTATCGTCATATTCTAATGTGTTCTGCGTTATCTTTACACAGTCGACCAAACACCCACTCCGACAAGATTAATAAAAAATTGTGAAGAAGTAGGCCTATTCGATGATTTACGTAATGTTAATCCTTTTGATGAGACATTCAGGAGGGCATGTGAGCAGAACATTCAGCATCCTGGATCTAATCATAATTTCCATGCAGAAGAAGAAGCTTTACATACGCCCCAGGTTTTTCCACAATTTGATGTGGCCGTGGAGGGCGGTATTAGTGCTGGAGAGGATTTAAGTAAACATACTCTAAATACACCTGGGGTGCATACACTAAATACTCCTGTGGTGCTGGATAATCTTTTGGAAACACCTCCCATAATCACTAAAACTAATGAAACAGATGATATTTCCACCAGTGTTAATAAATATCGGCCGATAGCTGAAAAGCCAGCACCCAGTGCTAGCTCCCAAAGCAATGAAGCTTTAACATTTATGCCTTCGACAGTGCAATTTATACAACCCCAGGTGATTACAGTAACATTTCCCACAGCCGAGACAAACATAACTACGGAATCGGGAAAAGTCAGCAAAACAAATCAAAAACCACTTCCAATAATTTTACCCAAACTAAATACTTCCGCAGCCAAAGATTCGACATCATCGTCGGTGGTAACATCTACTACATCCTCATCATCAACACCACATCCTGAACCTAGCAGTGCTAGTTTGACCCCCACCTCACAGCTGCCGATTAAAGAACGCCTTAAGGCTATATTGAATCAATCGAGTAAATCTAAACCACCCGAATGGCCGAGTAATAAATGTTCGGGTAAATCCGCAATTATCCACAGGGCAACTTCTTCGTCATCGTCAAGTCGTAAATTATCGTCTAAAGATGATACTATGGAACGCAGGCGTGCAGCATCTACACGTTATCGTCAGAAAATGAAGAAACGAAATGCCGATTTACAAATGGAAAATGAAAAACTCAAGCAACGAGTAAAACAGTTGGAAGCACAAGTGGCGAAATTGCAAACAGCGGCTTTACAGCCGCTACAAGGTAAATTTAAAATGGTTTCAATGGTTATCCACTCAATAACACCATATATCTAAATATCTAAAAATAGCGTCTTTAAAATACGTATAAAAAGTATATTGCCATGGCTTTTAAGAGTCCCTCTTGACCCTTGGAAATATGGAAAAAGCTTTTTATAGAAGGTTCCCGGTCCTGGCCTTCTGTTTATGGAATGTCTCATATGTTTAGAAAAAGTTATTCGATCAATATCTTAAGGTCTTTAATTGATCGAATAACTTTTTTTTATCAATATACGATCTTTGGAAAGTCTTCAATCTATACATATAGATTTAATTTCGTTAATAGATGACCTATAAAACTCATTTAGACGGTTTTCTTTCTATAAACTTCTTGCTGTCTATATTTGAGTAATTTTACAAAGCATGTATTACTAATGCACTTACTTTTGTTTATAATAAAGACTATATTTTCTTCTTTCAGCTCCAGCAACTATAACAGATCTTGGTATACCTGCTCAAATACAAATACCTGCCTCTACCATACATTTGGTAATGAATATTCCTAAAGTAGTGGTGCCTTATGGTAGCAATATTAATAATACTCAAACAATTTTGAAAAATCCCATTACTTATCGAATTGATAAAAACTAATATTAGAGAGTTTCGTTCTTAAAATTGTTTATAACTTTATAATGTAGATTTGTAAAAAGAAGTGCCTTATTATTTGTAAAATTTTCAAACTGTGTACAATTGAATGTGTTATAAAAAATACCAAATTGAAATTTATTTATAAAATAAATAAAATATAAAAACTAAGTTTTATAACGACTAAATTATCATAATAACTCTCATATTAGGTTCATCTGTGTACTTTCTCAATAATATTAGGTGTGTTTGATAACGCAATAATAAGTCTGTCTGGTCGCCTAAAAATGTTTATTAAAGGACATTTTGACAGTTCTTTTATTGAGAGTTTACAAAATCCTTGCCGGACAAGTTTCTTCATACAATCGCCTTTTCTTTCTTTTTTATGTTTGCGGTTTGTTTTTGTGCAAAAATTTAAATAAAATTGTATCTATTTATTTTTTGTTTTTTTATTATTTTAAAACAAAATTTGTTTGTATGTGTTTTGTTTTTCCCTGGTAGAAGAATACAGGTAGATGCATCAACGCTTGGGAACATTGATATGTCAAAAAATGTTAAATGCTTTGACAAAAATAAATAGATTTTTATATGTTTGTTATACGACACAAATCGGGGGTTATTATGATATGCATTTTCATCGATTTTCACCATCAATAAATTGTCATAAAATTGTTAATTCCATAATTGGTTTGACAGTTCATTGCCCCATAATATAGGTAGATACATCAACGCTTGGGAACATTGTTATGTCAAAAGTTTTGAAAAGTTTTTTCAAAAATGAGTAGATTTTTATGTGTTTTCTTATTAGACGCCAATCGGAGATTGTTATGGTATTAATTTTTCAAAAATGTTTACGAATTTTGATAACTTTTCATTCAAAAGTGTTAATTCCAAATTTAGTTTGACAGTTCATTGTCCCAGCAGCTGTGTCGGTGCGACCAACTGCATTTTTTTTTTGCCTTGTCAAGGCCCATTGCTCAATAACAGGCTGTTACTGCAAATTTTAAAAACCAGATGTAATGCCAAAAATTGTTTAAACTTTGTTGATTATTTATTTATTTTTTGTTCTTTGATTTCAATCACAATAATACATATTGACATTATATTTGGTAGTCAGGGTTGGGCCGTGACAATGCCCATATAAAACAGCGTTTCTGGCGGAATAATAAAGTGTTACACCAATGTTAGAAGAATATAGGTAGACGCGTCGACACAGCTGCTGGGACAATGAACTGTCAAACCAATATTGAAATTGAAAATGTTGAATGAAAAATTATTTAAATTTCTAAAAATTGTTGAAAACGCGAATTATAATAACCTCCGAATGACGTCGTATAAGAAAACATATAAAAATCTACTCATATTTGAAAAAATATTTAAAAATTTTTGGCATATCAATGTTCCCAAGCGTTGATGCTTCTACCTGAATTCTTCTGCCATGGTTACACCAATCCAACCAAATGTCAAAATTTGTTTACGTTTTGCTTACTGCGTGTTTATCTTTCGTACTGTAACTCATTCACAATAAGTGTTTTGACAACTAACCTATATGATCAGCTGCGGTTAATCTAGAACTTGTTGATCGTGACATGAATGCGTTTAAAAAAGACAGAACAATAGGGCCAGTTTAATTAAAAAAATGTCTTTGTGGCGTAGAGGGCAAAATCCTATCAGTGAAAAATTGTTTGTTTATTTTTTCCCCTTGGGTCTATCCATGGTACAATGAAGAGAAGGTAGGTCAACTTTGAAAAAATTGCAAGTATAGAGGTCTACCTGTTTGGCTTGTAATGTCAGAAATAGTACCAAAACAATAACAAAGTCAAACAACTTGTTGCATTTATTTTGAATAAATAATTGAAAACCGCGAAAACTGAATGAATGGTCAAAATTTCTTTTCAATATCATGTTCTATATATCTTTTATGGTTTATTTCGCGACAAAAACTGTAAATTTTGTTGATGCATTCGTTGCAATAAGCATTTTGAAAACACCCGAATTTGAATATTTTCTGAACATTTTTTTATTATTGAAAAGAAGACACACACATAAGCAAATGAAGTTGACATATTAAGCCAGAAAAATAAAAAAATTTAAATCATATGGTAGTTCTGCCCTACCTTGAATTCATTGTACCATGGGTCTATCCATTAAATAAAGGAAGTTATAGATCGGCTTGTTTACAAAGATGTATTGGACATCACGTTGTTCCATTTCGCTGAGGAAAATGTTTGGCTTATTTGGGTGTTTCAGACAATGATCCCAAACATGCAACAAAACTTGTTAAAAATTGGTTGCAGAAGTCAAAAATCGGTGTTTTGTCATGGCCGGCACAATCACCTGACATAAACCCTATAGAAAAACTTTAGAGTATCGTAGACAGGAAGATCAAGCGAGAATAGGAAACAAATAAACACAACATTTTCCAAAAAATTAAAGGTGCCTGGGAAATCATACTCAAGGATCAAATTGAGTGTGTTATATATTCATATTATAGATATTGCCTCGTAGATGTGCAGCTGCTATCAAAAATAATGGTTATGCTATCGACTACTAGCCAAAATTTATTTTTTTTAAATAAAAAGTCAACTTTATGTAATAATTAAAGTATTTAAATAAAATCAAAAAAAGAACATATAAGCATAACGAAAAACTACCATTGTGATTGAGAAACCTTCATTCTGTCAAAAAATTTGTTTATATTTATTACGATAACATGAATTTTGACAATACGAATTAAATTAGCTGGGCCTCAATTCTTGTTCTATGAAAATGTGAAATGAAAATTTTTATAAAGGAAAGAAATGTCAAATGAAAAGTTTTATAAAGGAAATATTTTTCATTTCATATTTTCATAAAACAAGAATCCAGACCCTGGTCTTATCGGATGACGTAATACACTTTGTTGGCTATTCGTTTATCTTTTGTTCTGTCATATCAAACACCTTAATGGATTTTGACATTAAATTTTGTAGTCAGCTGGCTTGGAGGGGGACTTTATAGTTGGGCAATGACCGTACCATGACTGTAACATTAATCAACTATTTCATACAGCAAATAAACAAAACAAGCTTATTGGCAAACATATTTTTTTCTGTGTTTAACCATCCAATCGCCACTAATGGAATTTGACGTGTACTCAACTGATGATTTAAAAATTCCAAAACACTACCGTGTGACCGTTATTTTGCATCTCAACACTACGCATGGTCATTGAAATTCCTCCACAATAAACCAAAAATAACACAATATGCGTATGTATGTATATCCTCGGCCAAAAATCAGTGTAGTTTATGCCGAATTTTTAACAGTGTATCAAGTTTGCGCATGTCTCAAACTCATCTCACAGTGTCCTACCATCATTGTATCGATTTATACATTGAGTAATTTTTTAACAGAGCAACGAAATTTTCATACAAATTGGTTTTTTTGCTCCGCAAAATATACACAACAAATTGCCAAAAGTTAGCTGCTAAATATTTGGGAGCTTAGAAAATTAATACAAAATTCAAATAAAACAAAGAGAAGCTCATACGTGGTATAAAAAGCAGGGTATAAAAAAGACAAACTTGAAAAAATGGGTGATAGCAACGAACAAAAGGCTTTGCAATTAATGCAAGACGCTGAAAAGAAATTGAGTCAGCAAAAGGGATTTTTCGGTAACATTTTCGGTGGCTCCAACAAGGTGGAGGAGGCCATAGAATGCTATCAAAGGGCTGGAAATATGTTTAAAATGTCCAAAAATTGGACAAAGGCTGGTGAGTGTTTTTGTGAAGCTGCCGCATTACATGCCCGGGCCGGCAGTCGTCATGACGCTGGCACAAATTATGTCGATGCCTCGAATTGTTATAAGAAAATCGATGTGGAAATGGCTGCCCAGTGTCTATTGAAATCCATTGACATTTACACAGACATGGGCAGGTTTACCACGGCTGCAAAACATCATCAAAGCATTGCAGAAATGTATGAAAGCGATCCTAATACGCTGTTGAAGGCCATTGAGCATTATGAAAAAGCTGCTGACTATTTCAAGGGCGAAGAGTCAAACAGCTCGGCCAACAAATGTCTGCTAAAAGTGGCCCAGTATGCTGCACAATTGGAGGACTATCAGAAGGCAATTGAACTTTATGAGCAAGTTGGTGCCTCAGCCCTGGAATCATCTCTGCTCAAGCATAGCGCCAAAGAGTATTTCTTCCGTGCTGCCTTGTGCCAGTTGAGTGTGGATGTTTTGAATTGCCAGCATGCCATGGAGAAGTATATACAAATGTATCCAGCATTCCAGGATTCGAGGGAATTCAAATTGGTCAAATCGTTGTGTGAACACTTGGAGGAACAAGACATTGAAGCTTTTACCGAGACGGTAAAGAATTATGATAGTATTTCACGACTTGATCAATGGTATACCACCATACTATTGCGGATTAAGAAGGCCAACGATGATAATCCCGATCTCTGTTAAGTATATCCCCTCTATCTATATATCTATATACATACAAACATATTAATATTATTGTTAAATTAAGCAAGAAGCAAGCGAAGGGTTGGTAATAGCAACAACACTAACACTTAACAAGAAATCCAAAAAAAAAAATCTCCCTCCTGCCCCTTTCCTTCCTTGGATATTCTTTTTACTAACCCACTTCTTAAACAAATCCCTTAGCATAATTACAAACAAAAACAGAAAGGAAAAGAAATTAGAAAAAATTCTAAAAAATATAAAGAAAAATAAAAAAAATTGTTTTTTGTCTTTTTAAATAATATTATTATATATAAAACATATTCCATATATTATAAAAAAAAAATAAATATAATAAATTAATTCGAATAAATGCAATTATTAATTATTATAAAAAAGTAAGAGAAATCCATACATATTAATTAATAAAGGAAAAAATATATTTAAATTAATTACTAATACACACACATACCACATGTGTAAACTATATGTTATAATAATTATTTTCAAAAACAAAATTAAAACCAAAGAAATAAAGCAAAACATTGAAATCTTGTGAAAATTGAAACGAAAACAATTTCGCCATATATTTAGTCACAACATTCCTTTTACTAAGGCCTAGAAACAAAAACATACCTTGGTCATTTACCGGGAAAGGGATTCTTTTCTCTTGGTAAGAAAATAAAATTACCGCATGTGAAATAAAAAGGTATTTAAATAAAGAATGCTTTAGTCGCCACCAAATTGAATATCCTTAATGGAAACTTGTCATGTGTGTTTTATTTCATGTAGCGAAGATATTTATTTGTTCGTTTGTTGTTGTTCTTAGTGCTTATTGTTAGGGTCCAGTCAAAGATAAAAATTCCATTTGGCATTTTTCCAATTCTGCTTCAAAGTCGCTGTGACTCTTTATAGGTTTTTTTGTTCGTTGTGTTTTGTTTTTGTAATCTCTCGTGGCTAATTGAGGACTGACAATCTGTTTGAAAGGGGAGTAAAGAGACATTGTTTTTTAATTATCTTAAATTGATAAAGGAAGGAGATGAGATAATTTAAGAAGACTTTAGGGAAAAAGGCTTTTGTGTTTCGGGAAGGTAATAAAAAAAAAAAACAAGTAAAAAAGCAGTAAGTTCGGTCGGGCGAACTTTGAACTCCTTCCACCATTTCAAACTAATTTGGAAATTAAAAAAAAATATAACATCCGCTAAAAATGTTGTTAGAATTATAAAAATAACGAATATAGCCGTTATATTGGAGTCTATACGAAGACGTGGACCTGCATAGTCAACTTTTGTCATTACAATATTCAAATACGAAACTTGAAAAAAAATCCGGTGAATAATGTTGTATGTGGGCAATACGATATCGACGATATAGACATTTTTCTTGCAGAGAGTAAAGTGCTTGAAAAGAACTTTTAGTATGGATTTTTAGACAATTTCATTGAAAAATGTAGCTAACATCAACAAAATATCGAATATATATCGTGGATTTGTATAGACAATTCTCTTCCAGTGGGTAAAGTAATAAAAAGGAAGTCCTTGTGTTTATTTTCAGACAATTTCATTGAAAAAATATGGCTAAAATCATCAAAATGCCGAATATCGGGGGGTACCGTTGTATGGGGTATGGGGACTATAAGATAGTGTGGATCTATATAAAAAATTCTCTTCCATGGGGTGAAGTACCTACAAAGAACTCCTTGTGTGGAATTTCAGACAATTCCAATGGAAAATGTGGCTAAAATCATCAAAATACCGAATATCGGGGGGCACCGTTGTATTGGGGCTATGCGATATCATGGATCGATATTGCCCATCTTCGAACTTGACCTGCCTGCAGACAAAAGACTGACCTTAGAATTTTAAGCTGATCAAGAATATATATACTTTGTTATGTCTAACATTATTATTTTGATGAGTTACAAACGGAATGACGAACTTAATATATCCCCCATACTATGTATGGAGTAGGGCCTGTCTCATTAACTGTATTTTGTTTCCAAACGTCGGACTGGAAAAGTAAAGAGTGCCACAGAAAAGGAAAAATTATTACTAATCTACAAGGAAGAGAAGGCAATGTTTTTAGCCACTTTAGTCTTTTTGCTGAGGAATGGATACTTGTTCATTGTTAAAGAATGAACACAGATCGTGCATAATTTGTCCATCCCTAAACCAGCCTTACATCGAAAAGAGTTGGACAGTGGCAGAGTAAATGTTCGACCGTTTCAATTTAGTATGGTTTATTTGATGTCAAAGATTTCTACCTGAAATAAGCTACAGTTGTTAAGTTTGAAGGAGTTTCTAATATGTAGGCTTTCAGGAGTTTCCAATATGTAGGCTTGTAGGACACATGCACCGTTTCACTTTACAACGTTGTTCCATCGGTACAGACATTTATATCATTTGTAGGTAGATTGTTACGGATGCAGAGTTCCCTGTCAGGTATGTGGATGTCCTATGTGTTGCATATGCCCTAGAATCGTAGAATGTCCAAAGAACTGATACTTCTCTGAGTCTCAGGTCGCACCTGGCCTTCAAATATTTGCTTAATGGATTTAAGTTAATACGGTATTTAGTGGAGCTTCAGTTGTACTCCGAAATGCACCTGTTATTAATAAAAATTGGGCTCTTTGAACATTATCAATGGTTATCGTGTAAGGTTTTTTCCCTACCACCATGTGCAGATGGTTTTCCGAACAATATATCCAATATTTCTACTAGCTCTCTGTCCTGGTAAACTTTCTGGATGTAGGCTATGCAAACATAGCTATGACAACTGCAAACATGCATCTCGTCAAGAATCATAAAGGGTCGTAACAATATAAATTACTTTCTTTCGTTCAACACAAGTTCATCCAACCTCTTCTTTCATCAAAACAACTTTCATCTTACCTTTCTAATGTCGTTGTTTAGGCGCTTCTGTTCATGCTGTAATTTGCATATATCATCATAATATGTTATGGTCAAAGAAGGCGTCGAATGTTGCTCCATGGATTTCTGAGCCAGCAGTTCCAGATCCTGGTTTTGAAGTTCCTCCTCAGCCCACATTAAATTAATATCATTGCACATGCGCTGTAATAATTTCAGAGAAAACCAAGCAATGTTATTTAATACCCATCGAAAATCAAAACTCCCCCTACCTCTTGTTCAATATAATACTGCAAAGAATGGAGTTCATGTTCTTTTACGAATATACCCTTTCGCTGCTCAGCTTCTTGTAGGGCGGCTGCAACTTCAGCTTTTTTATGGCGCAACTCTTTACGATACAATAACAGCATTTTACGTTGACAATTGATGCGTTCCTCCTCACGTCTCAAAGTATCTTGATAATACTTTTCCACCTCTTTGAGACGTTTTGTATGCTCCTCTTTTCGTAATCCATCTTCCAAACGTTTCATTATTTCCAACTCTTCCAATTCTAAATCACGCATACGAGTATCAATTGCCGTGTTAACTGATTGTAAATCTAAAACTTTATCTTCATATTTTTTTAAGCATTCATTGGGATAATTAAGGAATTTTGGATAAACTTTTTGTGGTATGGGTTGGAAGTTTGACATATATCTTTTGGGATGTAAATGACCGGGACATTTGTCTAATAGTTTTTGAGTTTTCAGTATCAATTTACGCACATCTACTGGATTTTGATCATGGTAGAATCTTTCAATGATAAACTTATCTGGGAGACGTAATAGAATTTCTTTTTGCATAATGTTATAGGCCACAACAACAAATATAAGATAATATGTCGGGCCCGAAAGTATGTTATCCCACAAACACATCCACTGTTCCTCATCCAGGACTTCACTAAAGGAATTTTTCAAAAGATTCCAAGCATATATTGTGGGTGTAACATCTTTGGCAACGAAGTAATCAAACAACATTTTATCGTAGTGTTGTAAAATATTGGCACATAATCCCAGATAACTGGAAGGTTCCAGTGGATGGTATTCAAAAAATAATTGAAACTGATTGGTGATTACAGTCATACAAACTTCAAATGCCACAAGATGATTTTGTTGAAAGATTTTTACAAACGGAAATATTAAATCGGGCAATATTTCGCTATGGGCCAAGACTTTACACCACTGACTAAGACTTGACCAACACTTGATCAGTGCCCGTTTCAGGGTATCATTTTTCATGTTTATGCTTCGACATCTCCGGGCTATGGTTGGTGGGGTGCCCATTTGTACCAAGTCACTATATTGCACTTTATTGTGAGGTAACACCAGCAATGAACACCAAATCAAGCTTCTATATTTTGCCGGGTAGCAATGAAATTCTTGTAAAATTTGCTGCAAACGATGCGGTGTTAAAAGCTTTTTTATTTCATCCTGGAATTTGCCATCCAATTCAGTTGATGGTAACTTAAAAGGTTTTGTTTGCTTAAAAGCCGTTCTAAGGATGGTCATACATTCTTGCTGTGACTTTAGCACAGATAAAAGATGGCAAATGGACCATAGAGCCAGTTCCCCAGACGAACGGCCTATTGTCAGATATTTATTATCTAAAGAAGGTTTTATAGATCTTGCTGGGCCAATGTCTATGATTAGTTTATATTCTGTGTTTATGCAATCAAACATAACAACGGATCCCCTATTGGTCAAACCAATTAAAAACTGATCATTTGGTTTTGTCAACAAAGACAAGTGTAACAACACGAAGTTCTTACAATTTACCAAAGAAGTTAGCTCAAAGGTATATGGACTGAGAAAGAGCAAAAATTTATCCCATGTTGATAGGGCAAATATCGAACCATCCATTCGATAAGCATATGCGGCAATTAAACCATGGCCCGTATTTATGTTTGCACACTGTTCTCCAGTTTTGTCATAGTCTAATGTAAGTTCCGGCAAGGCTTCTTCGGTTTGAAGTTTTTTGTCCCTCAGCCGTATTGGATATATGACTCGTATCACTTCCAACGAAACTCCCGACCAAATGTGAATGCTATCATTTGTGAAGCAAGTCAATATATTTTCCGATTGTGGCAGATATGAGGCATATTTCAGTGACATTTGCAGCTTGTCGAAATCCAAGCGATGGGTGCAAGTAAATTTTTGAAAATCCATTATTATTGCTGAACGCCCGGCCCGTATAAGCATTAAGCATTTGGGTTCTAAAGGTTGTCCAGGGAAAGTTATTTCGTTAATGACATCATTGGATATTTTATTTTTATGTAAAAACTGTGTTTTGTCTGTAATAGGTTTGAGATGTAATGAAATAGGTAACTATTTTTTGCTTTATGCCAACACTTACCCACATCCAAGAGTACAATAAAGCCTTCTTTATTACCCACAATGTACTGGTTATGTTCCTTATACGATGCTGTAATGGCACTCGGTTTGGCTAGGATGTCTGCATGTCGCCAGTAACGTCTTGCCACCAAATCGAACACAAAAATCGTTCCTCTACACAAAAATATAAAACCAAATTTAATATATAATAAATACATATTAACGGCAAAGCGTGGGACCCGAAGATTTTTGTTTTTTTTTATTTCATTGATAAAAGCATATCATTGCAATTAGCATAAAAAGTACAATTTCAAAACTATATGCGAGGTGCCGAAACTTGTTCTTTCTACATCCAAATATATACATCGCTGTTTTACCAACTTCTAGACATTAGTTGGAATAAAAATGACAGGAGTTTTAAGGAACTATTCTAGTAATTTGCTATTGTTATAGAATTGGCTGATTTATTACCGATCAATATGATTTTAGTATTATGGGTTAAGGGTTTTATAGAATAATCTGATTCGTCGTTTTCTATAGTAATTAGATTCAGGATAGTTTCGTCTAAGATTAATGTGGAGATTTTCTTCATACGGAGTACACGTATTGGCAGATGCAATCATAACTTACCTCCTGTCCACGGCTACAAGCTGTAGGCCACGCATATCAAAGCAAGCTACGCTTATTACAATACGCAACATTTTGTCGTTCTCCCTGACCGTATGATGTATTGTTAATATATTACTAAAATTAAACCAAAAATTATTGAAATTTCCAAAAGCACAAACAACTTATTTGGTACCCATTATTTTCCTTTAATTTGAAGGCAATTTTCTTTGTATGTAAAGAACATTTTGCAGATTTTTCGTTGTCATCGCAGTTAGTAGGTAATTCCTCAGCCAAATTTGTTTCTGTAGGATTTATTTCCATTTTTATTTTTAATAAAATTAAATTTAATTTCCCAAGAGAAGTGTAAACAAAAAAATTCAAATGGTCACATATGCCATAGTTCGTTGCTATGGAAACTGAGAATCATTCACAATAGTGATCACAGAATAAATGATGATTTGTTATCATTTCCCGATGAATTACGGTAATGGTGTGAAGCTGGACTATTAATTTTTTTTTCATTTGAATTAAAAAAAAATGACAAATATAATTTAGATACAAGGAATTATTCATTACATTGACACAATAAATCTTGATAAGAAGAACAAAACAATTTGTAGTTGCGTTGTAAGTTGATCCTGATTTTGACTACAGTCATAACGTTTTTCATTTTATAATTTTATAGAACAGCATGTTGTCCTTGGTTTTACAGGACAAATTCTCAACAGTGGCGAAAATAATCAAACCATTAAGTATTGGGTATTTAAATAAAACTCTGTTTAAACCGGTGTTATGATACCGTACTTTTTCAATTGTAAAACAAGTAGAGAGAAATGGTACGTTCGCTCTGAGGTTAATGCTTTGCCCAGCAGTACGGGAACAGAAAACTAGTAAAACTATTAAAATTAAATGACAATCCGTCAAAATTAACATTTCGGCTAATCAAAAACGATCAACCAAGGCGTATGACAATGTAAGTCCATATGCTCTCTTATACTGTCAAAATAGATTCTTTTAATTAACAATGTTCAACAAATTATTATTTTTGTTTTAACGAAAATATTACTCAGTAATGATTAGATCTGAATTTTGTAATACATTTCTGATTTTTCCCCTTTATTGATATTGATAGATTTCCTTAAAAAAATAGGCAGCAAGAGAGTTGCCAAAAAACAATGGCTAAAAATACCCCTTAGTAGTATATTGCTCGTTCTGGAACATAATTAAGGTATCTATATCTTCGGCCAAGAAGACCACTTTCGACAATTTAACAAAAAATATATTATTTTTAACTATTTTAGTTTTAACTTTCATTGTAGTTCAAACCACATCAAAAAATCAAATCATGTAGAAGAATACAGGTAGATGCATCAACGCTTGGAAACATTGATACGTCAAAAATTTTTAAATGTTTCTTCAAAAATAAGTAGATTTGTATATGTTTTTCTATACGACGACAATTGGAGGTTGTTATGATATGCATTTTTTAACAATTTTACAAATTTAAATAAATTTCCCTTCAAAAAGTTCAATTCCTGAATTGAAAATGTTGAATGAAAAATTATTTAAATTTGTAAAAATTGTTGAAAAACGCGAATTATAATTACCTTCGAATGACGTCGTATAAGAAAACATATAAAAATCTACTTATAATTAAAAAAAACATTTAAATTTTTTTACATATCAATGCTCACAAGCGTATTCTTCTGCCATGTTCTGTTCATGAATCAAATAGATCACAACTAGAAAGCCACTCGATTTAGTAAGTGTGACGGGCTCATGGTAAAAGAATAGAAGGTAGATGCCTCAACGCTTGGGAATAGTATAAATTTGCTTTTACAGCAGGTGTCGAAATGACACTTATACGTGTGAACACTGGGAAAATTTGAAGTTTTTACAAGACACTCATTGCACTACGACTAGGAAAATTTATTGTCAGTTGAGATGAAAGTGATTTTGAATTTTGCAATTCGTTTCACTACCTTGGCGTTTTCGAACTGTCACTCTTCCAAATGTAGCATCATTATTTATAAGTGGAACACATTTGGTAGTCATGTGCGCCACCTTCAGTATTAATAGTAATGATAAGTAATAAGTAAGTACAACATACCATCTGCATTATTAGTATGGGACAAATAATAATATTTAAGTAGAGGAAATTGGAATCAATATTTTTTAGCGCTTTCTTTCAAAATAAAAAAATCATTTGAAGTTTGTTTATTGTGGTGATTTTTATTATTGTATTTTAATATTATTTTTTATTATTGTTTTCGGTAATTTTAACACCTATGAGATTAGAAATAAATATGAGTGTCTAATTTGATGCCTATTTCGTGTTATGCATATTATATGTAAAAAAAAAAACAGCGTAATATTTATATATGTATGTAGCCTAATGTACCAATTTGTATGTGTAATACTCGACTTCTTTTTCCATCCGATGCTGTGTAATGTAATTATACAGCCAGCTTTAATTCTATGCGAAATTATAAATACCATATCCATTTCTTTACTTGTATGGATTACTTTTCATCGCTCATTGTAATCATCTCTTTGTCGACACACATATTTAGAACATACCACCATATGGAGCATCAAATTCATTTTCTCTCATAACATAACCGAAAATGGTTAAATAGTTAATGACATTGCTGACCAAAGTCAATATGCACCCCAGCCAGGTAATCTGCAACGTAAACAAAATACAAGTTAATATATAGCTTCATTATTTACGCATGACGTAATTTAAATAAACTTTGAGTTTGAGGAGAGAAGAACAACTACGCATCCAATTTGGAAACTTACCACTCCAGTATGTGCCAAAACAATGGGCAAAGCAAATGCGCTTAGAACCATTCCCGCTGTTAGGAAAAGGGCAAATTCTGTCTTGGGATTTGTTTCAGCGCCGGGATTCAGTCGTTTGGCTATGACAATCGGTATGACGGACAGGACATAAAACAGCAGCACAAAGAATGGATAGAAAATCTTTTGTTGGGGCACGGCACAGGCCAAAATCAGAAAGGTCATGCCCACGCATGTCATAAATGCACATATTAATAAACTAAATGTATGTAAACAATGAAAAAAGTATTAGACTTGTGTTTCGATAGATATTTTTCCGCTGTCTGTAGTTGGCATACTTACGCTGCAATTTATTTTGGTTTTTTTTTTCACAAGCAATGTCCCAAAGAGAAAGGTATTTCAAAATTATTATGGGTTTCAATAAAAATCACTTGGTTATTAAATGTGTTCTGCAAATTACCTTTTAAAGCAGCCATTTTAAAGTTAATTTATGTATAAAAGAGTATATTTCTATTGTTAAAAAAGATTTCTTTGTATTAATCACTCTTTTCAATAAACAATAACAAAGTTGTACAATTGACAGTTCGTGAGATGATTATCAATGAACAGGGTGCATCAGTTTGAAATTGATTTAGATAGGAATTATCGTTTACGATGTTGCTATCGATAATTTTTATGTTTCACAGTAATACATCATAGTAAAGTGGGGTATACATTATAATTTGTGAGTGTAATTTTTACTGAAATGTTGGTGAGGCGATTCATTTTTGTGAGCCATTACTCACAAAGAGACTAAAAAAATGCAACTCAGTGCTAGAATCTATAGTGTCAAATAGACACTACAACAGTTGGTTTTGTTCATTATTAATTTTATAACAAAATTCTTATATTGGGGAAACCCGCGAAAAAAGAATGAAATTAGAGTTTTATCGCAATATTGTATAGTGTTGGCCATTAACATCGAAAGTATGAATTTATTTTGCAATCAAATTTGAAATAATTTCAAATTATTGTATTTTTTTCAAAACAATACACAAAATAGTTGTGTTCCAGTACTTTTTTAGTAGTAAAACTAGCAGAATAGAGAACAGTTCGAAATGTCATTCTCAATTAGGTGTGCTCAAAAAATAAGGGAACGAAAAATTAGCAGAAATGCGATAAAATGTCAAAATTCAAAATTCCAAGAGTAAACAGTCCAAATCGGACTGGTGAAACCTTACTGAAACGGGCGCCAACATTTAAAAAAAAATAGTATTGAAGACGATACGTTAAAATTAATAATCTATAATAATAATTAGAACAGTGTGGCTTGTTTGTTCGGGATACCGTAGTATTTTGTTGTTGCAAAATGGTCAGGCTTATCCCTTTATTGTTGTTTTTATAAAAACAACGTTTGTTTATTAGTGGAGAACGATGGTAATGTTTACCAGGGGGTAAGCAGGGAATACCTAGGTTTCGGAAAGAGCCACCAATCCTCATCAGTTCCCTTGTTTTTTGTCTGGGATATTCTCCCCAGAAGTTATTTTAAAAAATAACTTCTATGACAAAAAACATTTTTTACCCAAGTGACGAGATCGTAAGCTCAATAGAAGAGGAACCAAAGAATTAAATAAAACTAAAATTCTTTTGGAAAGTCTTCTAAATCTTACAACCGCACTTATAAACATTTACATCTTTCTCCACTTGTTATGCTTTCGTTCAACCTGAACGAAGTAGCATAACCATGTAAGTTGGTTTTGTCTGTTACAACGATCTTACGATCTCGTCAGTAAAATGAGAGCGAGTAAAGAAAGCAAATTTGACAGTTGAGCTACTGATTTAGAGTTTTTTTGTCTTTAACATTTTTGTCGAGTAACCTGTGGTCTTACGTAAAAACTAGTAGTGCTGACAGGCAAGTTTAAAAGGAACCAAGAAAAATATTTTTTCAAATACAGACAATTTTTTTGACAAATTTCTGGCATGAACTGCAAATAATTACTCCGATAATCGATTTTCCTTTATGATTTCGAAAATAAATGCCAAACTAGTAGATTCTTGCAGGTTCTGGAACAGAGCAATATATTTAAAATATATCCAAGTTTTGAGTTTATTTAATTTGATTGTTAAATTATCGAAAATTAAGAGCATAAATTGAGATAATAAGCATATCATTGTATAAAAATATAATCTAAATGGCTTTAACACTTTTTACTAGGCTATTTTTTTTCTAGTAAACAATTTTACACGGTGTTTTGCACATAAAAGTCGCGAAAAGCAAGTTCCGTTTGTGTATTACAGTTGAAAATTCATTTTTTTCGAACTAAGGCTGGAAATACATAAAGCGCATATTTGGCTGGCTTCTTCGTAGATGAACAAGTTCGATTTTGGCCCTAGGCTCCTTTGTTCATTTCCGAAGAAGCCAGCCGATGACTTAAGCCAGCCAAATACGCGCTTTATGTATTCCCAGCTTAAGGCTGAAAAAGCAAAAAATTACGACACCCGCCACACATGTGCTTTCGTCGCTATCTCGTTGACGACTAAATAAAATGAATAGAAAAATATTTTCTTCCAGTGTTATTTCGTCGCTCTCACCAATACTATTACATTGGGCATCTATGGTTTAGAAGCGAGAATTTTCAGATAGTCATAGACCATGCATATCAAGCTAATTTCGTAAATTGGCCGATAGTTCGACATTCAACAAATTAAAATTATTAAATTAAGGCAAGCAGACCATATTCGACCATAGCTGTCAGTCGAAACTAATAGTGTATACCATGACTCAATATGAAAGGTTGCTCAACTTCAAAGAAACTAGAAATATGGCAACTTTGTACTGGAGTCTTGTAGTGTCAAACAGACCTTCAAACTGACAACTGTTAAACTGATTTCTGGCAATTTTGTGTATGTATTTATTGTTTTGAAAAATAAAAACAAAATATATTCAAAATCAATGATTGGAAGAAACTTAAATTGCGGGACGCGCAATAACGATATTAACCAGATTTGCCAAGGAATTGAAAGATTAGCCACTTAGGATAATATTTTTGAGAGAACATTCGCTCAATTTAACTCTTTTAGAAATGAACAAAAAAATCAATTAAATAAAAACAACTTCTTGGATATTATTTTGAATAATTCTGACAGGAAGCGGGCATTGCCTCAGGGCTGTATCTGTAGTTTTACGAAGGTGTATACCAAAATATTGTTCTATTCCAGAACTGCAAGATTGTAAAACTTTTTACTGCGATGATCGTTTTTTTCTTTGCGATATTGAAAAAAAAATGCAAAACTAGGAGATTTTTGCAGGTTCTAGAACTGAGCAAATTTCAAAGGTAGATAGAAATCAACTGAATTTTTATTTTGCACAAAAGTTTTATCTTAGAATTTGGAACAGATACTGAGCATTAAAGGTGCAAGTACATACAAAGCTTTAAGTCATAGCTAGGCATATTAATGTCAAATTATAAAGGAAAACGACGGCAAGATTTTAGTGCGGCTCTGAAATCCCTTTATGAAATGTCACAAAATGTGACTTCAAGCTTTGTATGTACTTGCACCCAAACAGTTTCGCGCTTTAATTGAAATGATATGCATTTTTGAAAGACGAGTTGCACACTAGGAAAGACGAGTTGGCTTTTAGAACTAACGGTAGCAGTTTACAGTAAGGAATTGGCGACTAAGCCTTATATTCTTTAAAAAATCATGTATCAGAGAAATATCAGTTTAAAAATCATATGGTAACTCGATTATAGATTCGAGACTCTCTTGTTTATAGAAGTAAATTCGCATTAACTCAATATGCCTATTGTACAGGGTGAGATAAAAAACTGCAACAAAGTCAAACGCCATAATTTTTACATTTTTCTTTTTATAAATTTTATTGAATGAATGCAAAAATGTCGGATATAGCATCAAATTTTAGAATAAGTTAAGATTTGTTCGAATTGGTCACCTTTGGAACGAATTATGGCCTTCAAACGGCCAATGAAATCATCACATGCTGCCCGAATGTTGCTCGACGGTGATCGACACGGTATTTTTTTGTGCCAACCTTGCTTTCCAAAATATTCTAGACACAATAGTCCAATTGTGCGCTGGAAATGAAGCGAGGAACCTCATTTTGTAACCATTCTTGGGTGGCGCGTGCTGAGTGCGATGGTGCTGTTGGAATGTCCAAGGTCTGCGGCCAAAATGTTTGCGTGCCCAAGGCTTTAATACATCCTCCAGAATATTCTGCATTTATTCTGATGCCACGGTCGATTAATACTAGCGTCCACACCATCACCATGGCCGGCGCTTGAGTTCTTGTGTGCAACCGAAGGTGCAAATTTTCTGCTGATCTCTTTGGCAAGTAAACACGATCATTTTGTGTATTTACAAACTGCTGGACAATAAATGTTTTCTCATCAGAGAGAACCAAATTCGGCACTTCACCACTTTCGGCCAAGCGAAGCAATTCTCTTGAGTCTATTTTCTTTCTGTTGCGGAGTAAGTTCTTGCACTTTTTGTTGAGTTTGAATTTCAATGGGTTTACATTGAGCTCATTTTGCAATATTTGCCGAATGGAATATTGCGATATGTTGAGCTCACGAGCCATTTTTCGGCCCTGCGACGCGGACTTCGATCATGTACTTCTTCTTTACTCTTCGAACTATTTCTGCTGATATAGTTGTTTTGTTTCGCCAACTTCCTTGACGTCGGGCTACGCTGCCACAAAAGATTTATTCACATTTAAATGCTGGAGTGCTCTAACGACAGACACTTCTGGGTTTCCAGCCAAATATAAAGAAATTACAGTATCACGCTTGAATTCCATTACGAATAACTTTTTTTTGTACGCTTGTAGACAATATAATGAGCTGCCACCGGAATAATTTTAACAGCTGTCGGACGAGTGGCTTAGAAATGACAGCATTCTGAAGTTGGTTGCAGTTTTTTCATTTCACCCTACATATTTTTATTGCAATTTTTGTATGTATGTAATTCTTTTTCTTTTCACAACAAATTTAAAATAGCCAATTGTAAAAAATCACAATTAACCCCGAATATAGGCTCGAGACTCTGCTATTTTTTTTTTTTTTTTCAAAAAAATCGCATGTACTCAATATACCCATTGGATGTACAACTATTCGCCAAATATTAAAAATTTCGATAACATTCAGCTTTTCTTTGCAAAATGGAGGTTAAATGCGTTTTGAAGGCCGAAATTGAAGATTTAGCTCGAGAAATTAATATTTTTATATTGCGTTAACTATATATATATGTATGTATATTTTATCAACCTTTCCTCTAGATAATGTAACATTTCATGGCGGAGTTGAATACAACATAACATTCATAATCTATGAGTGTATTGTGTGTGTATATGTGTATAGTATACAATAATTGTTGCTTTTTCTTGCAAATGTATTACCTTGAATGAATTTGAAATAAAACGCAAAATATTTCATTCTCCTTCACGGCCACCTCGCCAAACATGTCTAAAAATGCTCTATGATAGCAAATACCAAAAACATAGCTGTTGTTGTTGCTACTATCATTATTATTATTAATAACGTATCTTATCCATTGTTGCAGGTGTCTTTCCATAGCATATAGCTCGGTTAGAGAGCTATATGCGTGTGTATGTTCTGCTACTACCTTTGTTGTTTGATAGCATTTCACTTTAATGGAAATAAAATTCATTGAATTTCCCGGGTATCATGAAATGCGCATATGCGCATTTCTCCCCACCCCCAACCCGGGAGTGTGAAGAAAAATAACAACAAGTACCTTAACGAAAAAATTCATTGATGAAAATTTCCGTTACCGCTTGCAAGCGACCTGCTGCTGCCTCTGCTGTCACGAATGAGAATTCGTGTGTCCTATCCCAATACCCCCAAAACATGGCTAAAAATAAACCGCTGCATACACGGACAAACATCGTTGCATGTACACACAAACACACCTGAGCATACCTATGTATTATATGTACACACACACACACACGCACACAGACGAACTGTCCTGCAATATGTACATCGACACAAACTCTGTTTGCCGCAACAATAGAGAAAATAGTTCAGAATGAATATGGACTGTTCTCCTGTTTTATTTTGGCAAATTGTTGCTCCAATGTTGAAAAGTATTCGATTGTGGGCAAACTTGGAAGAAAACGCTTAAACCTGCTAACAAACCTTAGCTTGCCTACCAATGCTTACATATCTATGTATCTACAAACATAACATTTGAATACTGTAAGTGTTGATGAAAGCTTTTGACGCATTGCGCAGACTCGTTTTAAGCTGTACTCTATGTTATGGAATCATTTGTCATAATCATGACTGGTCGTATGCGAATATCAATGTGATTGTACATTAGACATATGTTATGATATAATGTTTAAGCTGACTCGATTTTGATATTATGCCATATGAATATCATAAAAGGATAAACATATCATAACATATAATAAATGCAAAACAGCCATTGATTACAAATAGTCGTCAATGTCGGTTACGATCATAACAAGTTAATAAGTATCAGTCGGTTTTGCCGACAGATGTATACCCCCAGCCCTAAGTTATGATTATTCAAGCTGTTGACCCTTTATGGGGGTGGTTCCGGAGCAGTTGGCCAAAATTGACCATTTTGTATCTGTCCTAAGTCTGATATAAATATTACAACGTGCTATATTTCGCCTACTTCCTAACTTTATATGAAATATGTGCAAATTTTTCGAAAATGTGGAAATACAGGGTGAGATGAAAAAAGAGCAACCAAATTCAGACTGCTGTCATTTCTAAGCCACTCATCCGACAGCTGTTAAAATTATTCCAGTGATAGCTCATTATATTGTCTACAAGCGTACAAAAGCATTTTGGTGACAATTTTCCAGAAAAAATGTTATTCGTGATGGAATTCAAGCTTGATAGTCTGATTTCTTTAATTTTGCCTGGAGGAACACAAGTGGCTATCGTTAGTGCCCTCCAGCATTTAAATATGAATAAATCTTTTGTGTCTCGTACCATCGTTTGTTAGCCTGAAGTCAAGGAAGTAGACGGAAGAAAACAGCAACATCAGCAGAAATGATTCGAAAAGTAAAGAAGCGACTTGATCGAAACCCGCGTCGCAGTGGCCGAATGGCTCATAAGCTGAACATATCCCAATATTCCATTCGGCAAATATTGAAAAATTAGCTCGGCCTAAATCCATTGAAATTCCAAAAAGTGAAAGAACTTACAAAATAGACTCAAAAGAGCTAAAAAGTGGCTTCGCTTGGCCAAAAGTGGTGAACTGCCAAATTTGGTTTTCTCCGATGAGAAATCATTCGTTGTCCAGCAGTTTTGTAAACAAGCAAAATGATCGTATTTACTTGCCAAAGAGGTCAGCTGAAAATGTGCACTTTCGGTTGGCCACCAGAACTTAAACGCCGGCCATGGTGATGGTGTGGGCCGCCATAACAGCCGATGATCGCTCTCCGCTCGTATTAATCGACCGTGGCATCAAAGTGAATGCCGAATATTATTGCGAAAATATTCTGGAGGGTGTATTAAAGCCTTGGGCACGTGAACATTTTGGCCGTAGACCTTGGTCATTAAAACAGGACTCAGCACCATCGCACTCAGCACGCGCCACTTGCCGTCCAAGAATGGTTACAAAATGAGGTTCCTCGCTTCATTTCTAGCGCACAATGGCCACCAAAATCTCCGGATACCAATCCGTTGGACTAGTGTGCCTGGAGTATTTTAGACAGCAAGGTTGGCACAAAAAAATAACAAAGTGTCGATACCTCAAGCAAGCGCTTAGCCGGGAATGGGCCAAAATACCTCAGAGCAATATATAATCTTCATAACAGATCTTGTGGTAGCAAAAATGTTTGTTTGTGTGAAATTTGAAGAGAATTGAGGCTTATTTCGATTTCTTTGAGCGTTTTCTTTTTAAAAATTTTGACCCTTTGTGGGGGAGGTACCAGATATCGATATATTCCATCTTCACACAAGACCTTGGACTAATAGAAATATTGTGCTGTGTGTAATATGAAGGCAATCGGACCATTACATCACATTTTATAAGATTTTTAATTATTCAAAAGTTTGACCTTTTGTGGAGGAGGTATTTGATTGAGTGGACCGAAATTGTCTATTTACGCACCTGACCGAGCACTGATGTTGATATTAGGATTTGCCAAGGTGGGGGCAAAGTCGGATTATCATTTCTCTTTTTGTGCAGTAAATTTTTTTCTGTGAAAATGTTGACATTTTGTGGGGGTGGTACCAGAAAGAGTGGACCGATATTGTTCTTCTCTGAACTCGATATTAGTTTGACAATAATATTACGATGTACTAAGTTTGGATCAAATCGGATACTCCCTTCGAGAGTTATTGTGCGCACCATCCAGCCAGACAGAAGGACGGACATCGCTATATCGACTCCAAATGTCCTGAAATGGATTTGGTCTAAAGAGACCTAGGGTCTAAAATCATTATTTCGATGAGGCACTTTTGGCCGTATCAAATGACACATACCTCTCTCTAGCCATATGACTGAGGGTAAAAAAATAAAATACCTCTAGTACGGTATGTTTTGTTGGCGCCTAAACGTATGCTCTTAAAAATTACTAACGTTAAAGAACTGATGACGCTCCCTTGAAATATTCGACGGAAAGTTGACGATTTTCCATTAATATTGCTATCCTCACATCCGAATGATTCCGTTACAAACTTCGTGCAACACTTAGCCGACTGTAGGGTTCAATACATGCCTGTTGTGGGATAACAAACCAAATATCCCAACAAATCGTAAGCTCATAAGGTTTTAACAGAATGCGGAGGTGTTATAACATTTTGCGTCACCAGGCTGGCGAAATCGTAAAACGAAAAGAAAAAACAACAAACGAAGTGCTTCGGCATGGCTCGAGAGGAAAGTAACAGCTATGAAAATTTCAACACGAACAGTACAACGGGAACACTGATCGACAACGTATCGTAACGAAACATAAACCAAAATAACAAGAACGCACTCACGAACCAACAACAACAACAACAACTACAACAAAGCTCATTAAATATTACACAGTTCAAACAAGACAACCACACAATAGCAGCAACAACAATAACAACATCAACCAAAGCGACAAAAACAAATAGGAACCGCAACAACAGTAACAAAAACATAACTATTATACATATACATACCGACGACGACGACGACACACACACAGAGGAACGTATACAACACAAGATAAAAGCGTACTTACATACGCACACATATTCGAAGAAGCCAAGAAAAAAAGGAAAAATCCTATTGCAAACATATTGCCAACTAAGCGGACAAGTAGTAGACAAGAAAAACGAAAAAAAAAATCGAAAAATAGTTGTTCTACAAGAAATAAAAACAGTTATAACAAAAAAAAAAAAAAAACAGAAATATTATTAACAAAACAGTTAGTTATATTACAAACAACAACAAATTAAAGGCAACATAAGTTAACACCCCTTCAAAGCCTTACAAGCAAAGCAAAAGGCGGGGAGGTCTGCGAAAAAAGGGGACATCAAACCAAGCAACCAATCTACCAACAACAAAAAACAACCGAAGAGAAGAGAAAAAAATCAATAATTGCCAACCAGCCAAAAGGTTAAAGGCACACACATTTCTCTCGTGCTGTTTGCTTCGACTGGTGGTGCAGGGGACACTGCTGTTATCACTGCTAACGCTGCAGCAATGACCGGCCACCATATGTTAGTGAGGATAACCCCAAATATTCATTAATTTCTAAAACATAAAAAAAGATTTTGGATCTGAAATATTCAAGTGCTCCCCTTTTTTTCTAAAAGAAGTACAAAAATCAAATTCCAAAACCTAAAAAAAATCCCTAAATTTCAAAACAAGTGCAAGTGCAGAAAAGGTAGTGAAAAATAAAACCAACAATATGTTAACTGCTGTGGGTGGTGGAATTTGCCTGAAAACACTTGTGGCCCTTGTTGTAATGCTAAGCATTCTGGGTCAATGCGAAATGTCAATTTATCCAGGTGAGTTAAAAATAGCTAAGTAATTTACAATGAAAGTTATCTATGAATAAAATATATAGTGCTATTAACAAACAACAATAACAACAACTATTGTGATACATACACACACACGTAAATTTATTGTGTGTATATGTGTGTGTGTGAAAAAGTTTATAACTGTGAACTATTTAGGGGGAGGAAACTAAACAACAAATGCCTTAATTCTTTAAATTTATTTACATATTTTGCCTTGATTAGCTCAGTGGGTGGGCGGGGGTTTGATATCAAAGCTTCGCTTCCCCGCACAATAAATTTTCAATTGTGAAACATTTACTTTACACAAATATTTTTTTTTGCAATGAAAATTGTTAACCTTTTCAACCATATGTAAGATGTACATACACATATATATCTAAGAAAATACATTCACAAATACATAAGAAATATTAACATTCTTAGCCATACTTACTGGAATATATGAAATTCTTATACACACACACTCAAACACATTATGGTATGTGTACTTAATCATGAATGCAAGCCAGTCAGCATCCATCCCTACGCATAAAAAAATCATCCATTCATATTGTACAAAATATATCTTCATTACCCTAACCTCTTCATACAATCTTGCAACAATGAAACGAAACAAGAGATCCTCTCACAATCATTGGAGTACACAAAGTGACTCAATGGAAGTGGCATAAAAAAAATGCGAAGTATTCTCAGTTCTGTAGGGATGCCATATGGGAATAATGTAGGGTTTTTTTGAAATGTTTACATTATGGCCTATTGCCCGCAACAATACATTATAAAGGATTGTTGGTTTTATGTGGTAATATATAAACCAAATTACCATATACCCTTTCGTGTTGATTGATTTTAAGTTCGCTTCGAATATTGGTACCAATGCCATGTATGCAATACATTTAAACGCAACATCTTACAATTAATATTTTTTTTCATTGTCCCAGCATCTGCGTCAATGCGACTACCTGTAATAATATGCGACAAATAGATTACAAAAGATCAATTATCACAAAAATCACAAAAAATGTTCCCATGTTAATGTAACCTTAGCGTTAAATCCTGAATAAGAGCTAAAAGGTTTAACAATGTTTTCAGCAAGCAAAAGAAAGTCTTTATTATATCCTTCAGCATAGTATGGAGGGTATATTAAGTTTGTCATTCCGTTTGTAACACCTCGAAATATACATTTTAGACCCCACAAAGTATATATATTCTTGATCAGCATAAAATTCTATGTCGATTTATTAATGTCCGTCCGTTTGTCCGTCTATGTAAATCACTCTAGCTTCCGAACAAAATTAAAGTTGTGTTCCAGTACTATTTTAGTAGTAAAACTAGCAGAAGAGAGAACAGTACGAAATGCCATTCTCATTTAGGTGTGCTCAAAAAATAAGGGAAATTAAAATTAGCAGAAATGCGATAAAATGTCAACAGAACAAGAAAACAGTCTAAATCGGACTGGCGAAACCTTACTTAAAATTGATAAATATTTTTGAATGTTGTTTATTTGTATTCAGAATGCGTTGAAGAGTATTTAGAGGTGGAGTTTTCTCAAATCCCAACCCCGGAGAAGCTGACATGGTTGGAGCCGCCGGTTTAATTAATGTTAAGTCTGCTAGAAGACTTAATGCCACAAGTTGGCAAGACAGCCAACCTACAAAATAAAAAGAAAATGTTCGCAGTAATAAGCGATCATCTTTGATTTTAAGCTTAATTTTTCAATTAACCTTTCACTAATTTTGTACTTTTTACCAATACGTTTTCTTCGTCTGATTCCTCATTCAGCCAGTCCTCTTCGCTCCTGGAATCATCCAAAAGTGAATACATCAGTTGCTTCATATTTTCTCTTTTTGTTTTTCGCACGACAAATATTAGTTTTTCTTTAGTTTTTAAGTTTATCTTTTTTCTTTACATTTGTTGTCACGCGCGAACATTGAAATGTATTAATACATTTTTCAACCTTGTTAGCTCTGCCAATTAAATGTCAAATTTAAAATTTGCACATTCCTGCTCGGCCAAATTCATGTAGCTAAAACAAGCAGAAATGTGCACCACTCAGCGCCATTTTTTTCTCGAGAGAGCTGCAAGTTTTGCTAGTTTTTGGAGTACGGGAACGCGTTGTAGTAGAATTAGCACTAATTAGTACTAATTTGAAGGTTCTGGAACACAACTTAAGTAAGTAGATAAAAATTTACTCAAATGTGTATTATGTCTGCAGGACCTTTGGTATTGAAAATGGGCCATGCAGGTCGTATAGCCCCCATATAACGGTACCTCCCGATATTCGGTATTTTGATGATTTTAGCGACATTATTTATCGGAATTGTTTCATATTTGGTATTTGAAGTTGGTAATGAATATTACAGCGTGTGACAGGAGATTGCCTGTGCAGGTACACGTCTTCGCATAGCACCCATATAACAGTACACCCGATATTCGGTATTTTGATGATATTAGCGACATTATTTACCGGAATTGTTTCAAATTTTGTTTTTGAAGTTCATAATGAATACTGCAGCATAAGACAGAAAATGGGTCATGTAGGTCCACGTCTTCATATAGCCCCCATATAACTGTACCCCTATTATGAATATTTCGAGGAGTTACAAACGGAATGACAAAGCTAATATACCCTCCATAGAATGGTGGAGGGTACAACATATGTCTTCGGCTGTCCCTGCAAATTTTAAAAACCAGATGAAATGTCAACATTTGTTTACAATTTTTGGCTTTGTGTTTATCTTTTGTTCTGTGATTTCAATCACCAGGGGGACCTTATACTTGGGCCATGCTGTCAATATTTTGTAGCATTTGCACTGTAAGGCTAAGGCGAATCTCCATAGGTGCTGGTTATAGAATATCTCTTCATATTAAACTATTCGCAATCTAATTTTTAGAGTTTCGACTTTTATACATATCCAAACAAGTAGTACAAACAAAATATTGAAACTTTTGGTACTTTTTTTGAGAGAGCTGTTTTTTTAACCAATCATCTTCTGCTTCGCACAAAATAATAGTACTTTTACAGCATTGAAGGTTAGCCCACTGGGTTTAATAGATTTAGTGATTTAACCTTGTGTGTTTACATGCACCCATAAAATAATATAAATATCGCTCAGCTGATGTTTATTTATGTAAGAATGCAATAAATAGCCAGAAATATTGTATCAAAAAAACCCAGAGTTAATAAAATGTAAAATAATTTGTTGTGCGGAGGCCTGCTTTTGTTATATTTCGTTTTCATATGAAAAACTTTATAATCATAAATCGAACTTGATGTTGTGAAAAATCCGTGGAGTTCCTTTTATGTTTCGCGTTTTTTTCTTTAAATCAAAATATCGAGAGAAATGTTTTAAATAAACAACTTGTTGCATTTGTTATTGGTAAATCTGAAGTTACTAGACTCTCATCGCCAGATAATTTCAATCTAATTAAATTATGATATTGAAGGTTAATCCGAATCAAAATTTGTATGTAAACGAGCTATTAGTTGTGCACATAAACAAATATCTACTTCTCTAAAATGTATATGATTTCGTTGATGGAGGCCAATACCGTTCACTTCATGTAAAGTGGTGGTGCATACTCGATGGATCAATAATTCAGGACAAAACCTGTTAAGTCGTTTATATATGCCACATCTATCTGCGATAAGATTAGAAGTAAAAACATAATTCTTAGGTATCTTTCTGACGGCACATTTAATATTTACAAGTTGACCTTGTATTCTATTCAGCGTTGCCTTAAGACTCTAATAGGCCTACTACACTAGGAATCAAAGGTCTTCTTCTTATAGTTTTAATTCTCCCCTGGTTCGATTGGATGGGGTAAAGACTTTATGACTCAGACATCATCTTTTTTTTTTGAAGTAACATCATTCCTTTTGAATCAAACACCTTTCTTGTCATACGATAGTTTACACATCATGTTTATAGAATAATAGTTATTTTAAGCACCTAAATCAAAGAGTAGCGATATACCATGGTACAATATGGAGGTAGAGCAGATTAAAATACAACCCAAAAACTATGCCCGCTTTTTGTCAAAATGATATTCGTTGATAAAACTTAAATTTTGTTTATTAATGTTTTTTTTAATAATTTAAGTAAATTTTGAAAATTTGTCAAATTGATGGAAAATTAATGAACTTGCAATTCAAATTCAGTTTATAACCAGCTTATTACAATTTGTTTTCTAAGTGTGCCCGAATTCTGCCAATTTTGTGTATTTATTTATTATTTTGAAAAAACAAGTTCGGCAGGGCCGAACTTTGAATACCCTCAACCATTTGGAACGAATTTGGAAATAAAATCCTTAAAAATGTCTGTTAAAACTTTAAAAATACCGAATATAGCCGTTATATTGGTCTATACGACGTGGACCCACACAGGCATTATTTGTCATGTCATTGCCAAATTCAAATTCAAACTTGAAATAAACTGTGAATAATGTAGCTAAAATCATCAAAATACAGTATATAGGGTACTGGTATGTGGGGCCTATAAGAAGACCTGGACCTGCATAGACAATTTTCTGTTATAGGCTGTAGCATCTACTACGAACTTCAAATACGACATTTCAAACAATTTCGGTGAGTATTGTACCTAAACTCGTCAAAATACCGAATATCGGGAGGTACCGTTATATGGGGACTATACGAAGACGTGGACCTGCACAGACAATTTTCTGTCTTAGGCTATAGTATCCATTTCGACCTTCAAATACCAAATTGGAAACAATTCCGGTGAATAATGTCCCTAAAATAATCAAAATACCGAATATCGGGAGGTACCGTTATATGAGGGCTATATGAAAACGTGGACCTACATGGCCTATTTAACTTAACCTGCCTACTGAAAAAATAAACATGTGTGCAAAATTTTAGCCTTCTATCTCAATTCGTTCGGAAGATGGCGTGATTAGAACAGACAGACAGACAGACGGACATCGCTAAATCGACTTAGAATTTAAGGCTGATCAAGTATATATAT